GAGCCAGTATTTTTCTTTATTAATTGCCTATATACTTGTTTTCTCTCTTTTTTTTGAGTTTTTTAACTTTTTCAAATGAATATGAGATTATAATTTTAGGTTACATTGTTCTCACTTCCAGGGTAAAGTTCCATTTGTAGAAGAGCCCCTCACCCAGAGGGTGTGTTATACACCCTTACTGTGTTTCACACTAGGTGAGATCCCACCTCACGTCCCCCCCCCTTCACTTTACCCCTGAACTGGACTATATTAGCTTTATTGTTCTCATGAGCATGTAATTGTTTATATATTGATTTCATATTAGCATGGATATTTATTTTTCCATTCTTGCAACACTTTACTAAGAAGAATGTATTTCAACTCTATCTAGGTGAATGTAAAAGATGTAAAGTCTCCATCTTTTTTAATGGCTGAATAACAGTCCATGGTATACATATACCATAGTTTGTTGATCCATTCAGAGGTTGTTGGGCACTTAGGTTGCTTCCATGACTTGGCTATTATGAATTGAACCACAATAAACATTCTAGTACAAATGCGTGTGGTAAAATGATTTTTGTTCTTCTGGGTTGATAGATACCTGGTAATGGGATTGCAGGGTCACATGGAACTTTGAGGATTCTCCATACTTCTCTCCAAAAAGACTATATTAGTTTGCAATCCCACCAGCAGTGTAGGAGTGTTTCTTTCTCTCCACATCCACACCAGCATCTGATGTTTTGGAACTTTGGATGTGGGCTAATCTTCTTAGGGTTAGGTGATGTCTTACTTAGAGTGGTTTTGATTTGCATTTCTCTGATGATTAAAGACGATGACCATTTTTTCTTGTGTTTGTTACCATTCGTATGTCATTCTTGGAGAAGTTTCTATTCAAAGCTCTTGCCCACTTACAGGTTGTTTGCACTTTTCTTATTGTTTAATTTGAGTTCTCTGTAGATTCTAGTTATCAGGCCTTTGTCAGATTCATAACATGCAAAAGTCTTCTCCCATTGTGAAGGCTGTCTGTTTGCTTTGTTTGTGATACCCTTAGCTGTATGAAAGCTTTTTAGCTTTATCAAATCCCAGTTACTTATTTTTGGTGTTGCTGCAATTGCTAGGGTGGTCTTCCTCATGAAAATATTGGCCTAGGGAAAAAACTTTAAGTGTTTTCCCCATACTCTCTTCTAGAATTTTTTTTTTTTTTTGAGACAGTCTTACTATGTTGCTCTTGGTAGAGTGCCATGGTGTCATCAGAAACCTCAAATTCTTGGGCTTATGTGATTCTGTTGCCTCAGCCTTCCAAGTAGCTGGAACTACAGGCACCCATCACAATGCCCAGCCATTTTTTTTTGTTGCAGTTGTTGTTGTTGTTTAGCTGGTGTGGGCTGGGTTGAACCTGCCAGCCTGGGTGGATGTGGCCGGTGCTATAACCACTGTGCTATGGGCATTGAGCCTCTTCTAGAATTTTTATTGTTTTGTGTCTTAAATTTAAATCTTTTATCCCATGAGAATCCGTTTTTGTCAATGGTGAGAGGTGTGGGTCCAGTTTCAGTCTTCTACATGTGGATAACAAGTTCTTCCAGGAGTCTTTTCCCCATTCTGTGTTTTTGTTAGGCTTGTCAAAGATTAAATGATGATATGTGGCTGGGTTCATCTCTAGATTCTCTATCCTAGTCCATAGATCTATGTCTCTGTTTTTGTGCCAGTACCATGCTGTTTTGATCACTACAGCCTTGTAGTATAACCTGTAATATGACCTGAAATCTGACAGTGTGATGCCTCCAGATTTGTTTTTATTTCTAAGAACTGTATCAAATATTTAAATATTTAGACACATGGTATGTGGGTCCCTATTTGTACCCTTGCTTAGTCCCTGCAAATATTAGAGGTGGATTTGACCAGCAGTTGAGAGGCCCCTCCCTCCCTTTCTTCACAGGTAGCTCTACTATCCTGACTTTGTGATGATCATTTGTTTTTCTTTGTAGTTTTACTTCATAAATACACATTCTTGAAAATTATAATTTCATTTTGCCTGTTTCTGAATTTTATAGAAATAGAATTATTCTATGTGTAGCTTTGCTGCTTTGTTGCTTAATTATGTTTGTACAGGTCTTCCATGTTGTTTATAACTGCATTCATTTATTTTTATCACTGTGTAACATATTATAGAATCACATCAGAATTTAGTTATTCTACTGTGACAGCATTTGCAGTTGTTTGCGGTTTTTGGCTGTTACAAGCAGTGCTGCTGTGATCTTCCTTTTACATGTATTTGGGAGCATGTGAATGTACGTCTCCATAGGATATATACCATACTTGATTATTGGGTCATGTCAAACTGTTCTTCAGAATTGATTGTGCTAGTTTACACCCACATCTGCAATATTTTATAGTCCCTATTGCTTTTTATGACTTCATGAGCCTTTAGTACAATTAAATTTGATTTTTGCTAACCTACTGGTTGTGCATTTTGCTAATGACTAATGAGATTGAGGACCTTTTCATAGGCTTTTTGGCCTTTTGATGAT